TGGCCATCGGGATGTTTGGGACGAATCCCGATGGGCTGGTACTGAAGTGGGCCGGTCGGACGATGTGGGCCGGTCGGATAAGTCACTAGCTTACCCCCCCCCCCCACCGTTGCCAATTTACTCTCGGTACTTACTTGTGGTATTTACTAGCGGTATTTACTTGCGGTACCGAGGTGGGCCGGTCGGATAAGTCACAAGCTGATGTTGCATGTTGAAGGAATTCACAAGAACGTACAAATAACCAGCGTTGCCAGAGAGGGAATGTTAGACTATCGTCCTGGAGGCTTAGAAATGGGGATATGATCGTACGCAAATCATAACCACGAGGACCAATATGTGTACATTTGACAAAAAACACTTTTGACCCATGATTGGCTCGAAATGAGTCCCGTGAGAAAAGATGCGTAAAGACAGACGTAGAAATGACATTATTTTATCAAGCTGGTCCTGACTTTAACCGTGAATGTCACAAATTGATCGTACATGATGGCACTTTTTGGCATTATTGATTGTACAGAAAGCAAGATTATTATATGATGAATCCCAAATGTAAAAAGGGTCGCGGTGGTATCCGTAAATTGTACTATTAGTTGATAACAGAAAATGATTGAGCTATACAGTTCGATGATATAAAGATTATTGACGATATATCCGTATATTGGACAATAAGTCGAAAACGTAAAAATTACCATGATCCCCCCCATACTTACACAAGTGGGGGCCAAGAATTTTAAATGTAATATGTTATATCCTATAATTCGAAAAACGTAAAAGATTATCAAGGTCCTTACCATACTTTACGACAAGATGATGTTATTGTATTTTTAAGAAAATGATTGTTAACCACGAGAACAAATGGCTGTGATTGTATAACTTTAAGAAATGTAACGTTGCAGAGTTCTAATTTCAAGCAAAATGTACAAAAGGCAAGATTATTGAAAAAAAGTACATAAAACATAGTGTGGGGGAAACTTCTGAAGCAATGGGAGTCAGGACTCAGAGACACGAGGAGAGCTGGAGCTTTGATGACAAACACTGACGGTTTATTTGGAGCTTCGGCCGGAGAATTCACAAGACATGTCACGGGCCACGAGTTGACCACACGGTTGAGATGCCACAATCAGTTCTGAAGAGCCCTCCTGTAGCTCCAGGTTTTAACTAGTTCAGAGTGTAATAATCAACATTCTTCAATAGAGAGACTAAACAGCTGAGGACATTGAATCACATTTGTTGTCGCTTATGGCTCGAGGTCATCTCCATCCCGAGGAGGATGTGTTCCAGGTGTCCCACAACAATAACTATCTCTGACCGAAAGTTGCCCGGTCACAAACTGGTAACATCAACAACTTGCTAGGGCAGCCCCTCCTTAAGGGAGATAACGGCTGCTCAAGGCTGGTCAGCTGCGTCAGAGGGCGAAGGAGGACATGCAGGGCAAATTATTCCCCAACACATAGAAATATGAGAGTTATTGTACAACTGGCAATGCTGGTCGCCACATTTCTGATTACAGATTCAAGTATTTCTGTTTTTAAACCAACAAACGGGGACAGTCATCACCAATCAGGGGAACTGTTCAGAACATCAGACACAAAGAGAAGCTGCTACAAGGACTATAATTGACTTTGTGATGCAGTACAACTTTTGTCTACGCTTTTATATACAAATGGTCTTTATATGATAACGGTGCGTTAATTTTCAGGATATGGAAATGTCAATTTACACCCGGGAAATGTTCCTCTGTGATACTGCTGTTCACCTTTTCCAACAATAACACTGAAACCTGAGACTTTATCAGTATTGTCCTTTAAATCACAGTTCCCATAACCCAAAAGTATTTATTTTTCCTTTTACCTGTTGTTCAATTGATCAATCTATATTTCATGTAACAGGGTCCTGCGGCCTAAAGGCTTTTACTGGTAATAAAACATGTCTTAAATCAACCTTTGAAAAGCTTAAAAGTAGGATTTTATGTTTTCAAGTTAGAGGAAAATGTTTGTTTTTGTTTTTTTTACTTTAGGGTGAACTGACCTGACCATTGTAAAAGTAATGGCGTCTACACTTTGGGAAATTCACTGCATGGCTTTCTTGCAGAGTGTATGTAGCCAACACTGGGCTAGCTTCGCATAAAAACTGCAAACAGAGAGAACCTGCTAACAAAGTCCACCTACCAACACACATTTTATTATGAATAACTTTGTATTATTTATCTATAAAATATCAGAACATAGTGTAACATGTCAATCCAAGTTTCTCAGAGTCTCAGGTGATGTCTTTAAATGTCCAAAGATATTCACTTTATTATGATATAAAACAGAAAAGGGCATTTTCTTACCTTGTTAGCTTAACCCTGACAAAAAGTGTAAAATACTTTAGAGAGGCTAGCACTTTCCATCTGTTACCATTCTTTATGCTAAGCTAAGCAGCTTTTAACTATATATGTATCTCTCAGTAGAGAGTGGTATCAAACTCATTATCTTACTCTTGGCAAGAAAACAAGACAGTGAATCTCCCAAAATGTCAAACTCATTCCTTTAAGATCATATTTTATTACGTATTTAAACTGAATACATTTTAATTAGATTCAACAGACTTTTAAATATCACTTTGATAAGTTCAGATCCTCGTTAAGGGAACATATGATCTCATATAATTAATTGTAAAAATTGTTTTTGTATCAGACATGCAGGTAAAAAACACATGAATGATTATTATCCCCCCTGGTAGTGATTACAATGTCATTTTGTATTAATGTCTTTATTCTGAAATGCAAACGCTCAGTGAAGCAGCTCATACGTGATTTTAATCCCTCTCGCAGGAAGGAAATCAGACTTCTCCTCCATGATTTTAAATAAGCTATATTTATTTATACTTTGATGTCGTCTTACATTGCACCAAGCGTATTTTGTTCGTATATTTTTTGTATATTTTGAGTTGACAGAGATCCATGCTCAAAGTCTTTACACAGAACGGACCGGTATTATTTTCTGGATCAACCCTGACTCTGTTTTTCCTAACCCAAGGCCATTTAAAGAATGATGATATAGTGCTAGAATAAAGGGCCAGAATAACAAAGAACATGTTTTGATTATTGTGTTGAGGCCTACAATATGGGAAAACTTCATATATACAAATACAAAAAAGTAGATATAAACTGTATTAAAGGTCCCATGTCATGCTTCTCCGGTTATTACCCGTCCCCTTGTGTGTTATGAAGGTTTTTCTACATGTAAACGGTCTGCAAAGTCACAAACCCTCAAAGTACACCCTGTAGCGAGAAAAACTCTAACACAGAAAATACCTGTCTCTGCTGCCCCAGAACACTCGTTGGGGATTTTCTTTTTCAATTTTTTTCTTCCGGGAACCAAGTGACGTAACGACGACCCCTCCGTGGATTGGTCAAAATGGACCAACCCGTGGAGCCGTTACGTTAAGTCCCCTACTTCCTCACACACACACTCAATCTTTTCTCAGCTGCAGCTCTGCCGATTTCTCCTCCCTGAGACGGCGGGACGCGGCGAGGCTGCAGTCGGTGTGTGAGCACACACACAAACTCCCAGCCAGGCTGCGGGTGTGTGTGTGTGTGTGTGTGTGTGTGTGTGTGTGTGTGTGTGTGTGTGTGTGTGTGTGTGTGTGTGTGTGTGTGTGTGTGTGTGTGTGTGGTGTGTGTGTGTGTGTGTGTGTGTGTGTGTGTGTGTGTGTGTGTGTGTGTGTGTGTGTGTGTGTGTGTGTGTGTGTGTGTGTGTGTGTGTGTGTGTTCGGGCTGGTTTCTCTGTGTCTCGCTGTCTCGCAGACGGCCACTGGGCTCATAGGGGGAGGGGGGGCAGGAGCTCCAACAAGCCGTTTAGAACAGAGTGAATACACATACTATACAGAGATGCTTTATGAGAAACCAATGTGATTTTGGAAAATTGCACAATTTAAATCTATTCTAGTAGACCTCAACAATGGAATTATGATCAGTAGAAATGGCCATGACATGGGACCTTTAATACTAAATGCATATATATATATATATATATATATATATTGTGGTGGAAATGCCACACGTAATCACCGACTTCTGGTAAGGAAAGAACAAATATACAAGCTTAAACCGAAGTTGTGTTGTTTAATAAAGAGTTATAGCATTTAACAGAATCAATCATATTTCCAGCTCTAGTAGATAGCACCAAGATCTGACCCTGTTACAGAAACAACAGAAAAACAAGCACTTAATACAGGAAAAAGACAAAAGGGGGGTCTCAGCAGGGAATGTACATTACAGGCCATTGAAATGTTGGCCAGACAGGCGAAACTTGCATACATGCTAATTACAAACCTAAGATGATCCATATGATAATTACCTGACAAATGGTCAAGTCTACACCCTTGTCTGTCTGAGAACATTTAGCAGCTAGGCGTGAATTTAAACTCGAAAATAAAGTTACAGTGACATTATATATAATTAAACAAGACTTATGATAAATGTCTATGATTTATATATATTGTTTGATATTATCGTTTCAAATGGCCTTTTCGCTTTTTACCTTTAATACTAAATGGTCAAACACTCATTGGAGCGAGGGTCGGGGCGAAACTCTTGGAGGTTTTTCCAAATTAAAGCACTACCTAACTTAATCTGATGGAAGGTATCATGGAGACAACAGTACATAGGGACATTGGGATGTTAAAAGCACAGTTAAACAAATGTTGAGTTCTGACGTTAATATCAGAATTGTGAACAAAATAAATATATCTTCTGATCATTTTTTTCCCTTTGGAATATTTTTGACTATGATCTCGGAATTCTGGCTTTTCTCAAAATCTTGGGAACATTTTCACTTATTTTTTCATATTTAACAAAAATGCTGCGGTTCATTCCTATGTAATGAGTGAAAACAACCTGTAATGTTGATTAGAACAACACAAAAGTGGTAAACTTCAGTGGAGTAAAGTTACTAAATAGATTTACTCAAGTACTGTACTTAAGTACAACTTTTAGATACTTGTTCTTTACTTGAGTATTTCCATGTTATGCTAGCCTACGTTGTACTTCTAGCCTACTCCACTACTCAGAGGTAGATGGTGTACTTTTGCTCCACGTATTTAACACCTTTAGTTAATTTACAGATCTGGATGAATGATGTGAAATATAATCAAGTGTTAAATCAGACTGTAGTTCCACCTGGAGTAAATTCACAAGCTACCCTGCAGTATACAAAGTCATTCAATCTAGCTGCACCTTTACCAGCTTTGAGAACACTTTATTGATCAATCATTATAAAACATATCATATATATTATTCTGAAATTGACCAAAATGTACAATGACCACTTTAACTTATACGTTAAGTATATGTTGATGCTAATACTTATTTTGATTACAAAACGTTTACTTTTTCACAAAAAATAAATACAGTTCAACCTATACAAAATAAAAACTCAACCCTGACAACCTGAACACGTCACTTCCGGTTCTCTCCTCTTTCGACTCTCGTATCTCTCGCCATTTTGATAAAGTCGCTCGACGCACACTGGAAACGAATCAGTTAAAGTTGAAGCTGCAGGAACGAAAGCATCTAAAACAGCGACAACCAGAGACCAATTCTGGGTAAGAATCACATTGAAATGCTGTTAAATAATTATATGTTTCTTACAATTAACTAACAGTGGGGATATGTTTGCTTTTAACGGTTAAATTGTGTCTTTTGTAACCTAACGGTCGGTGGCTAACTAGCATGAAGCTAAGAGAAGTCCACCTCGAGGCGAGCTAACAGCTAGCATCTTTTATTAGCCTGTGTAAACATGGCCTGTTTTAAAGCAATGCTAAACAGTTAATTTAGGACTACATTGGGCAATATATTTCAGCTCTACACATTTCTTATTTCAAAAGACGCGTTATTCAAGGTGTAGTTGAGCATTTTAAAGTATAATTTAGTAACGGTTTCAACGTGTATTTTAGTAGTTAAGGACTAAATTAGCCGCAAAAAGTTGGGCCCAAGTGATGATTCAACCTATCGTTAATAAGACATTGCTCATTTGATGTATCTTACGGTACATGATCACATTATAGACGAGGTGTATATTTATCTAAATGGTAATTTTGTTCGACTGCGATATGATTTATTTAGGTGCTGTTGGGTTACCCAAACATGCAACGAAAAGCTAAGTTTGAATTGCAAAAAATGCCTGTTTTAGCTCAATGCTATGCAGCTAATTTAGGAGAATATTTGGTAGTTTCCATCTCAGTACATTTGTTATTTCCAACGAAGCATTATTTAAGGTGGAATGCAAACGATCATTTTAGTAACGTTTTCTACATGTATACATTAGCAGCTAAAGTTGGGCCCAAGTGATGGTTCAACCGTTCGTGAATATTGTTAATTAGTTACTATTAGATGTATTGAAACGACTAGTTATTTGATGTATCTAACGTTTCATTATGTTTTGCTGAGGCGTATTATTCATTTATATATTGATGGTATTCTTTTGTATTGTTTAACCACCGCAATGCCCCAACAAATTGTATACAATTGTGATCTGTTAATTTACAGTGATTACTTTTTACATTTTTAGATCACAACGACCATCACTCAGTTGTCAGGAGTTTTGAAAAAGAAGATTCAACGGTAATTGTGTTAATGATAATGTGCATTGTACACGTCTACACGGCAGATGTGTTCAACTTTTAAGTTCATAGACACCAAATACTTTCATTATGCTGCATTTAGTTTTATCTAGGAAGAAAGGTGCCCAGTTTAGGGTTGATGGAGAAAATGTGTTTATACGTTGTCCACTTAGTCTATTTATCAACCGGGGAAGACACATTATTTGAGAACCTTTGTTTGTTTACCTAGATTACAGTACTACCTCTGAACATGTAACTCTGTGCTGGTCCAACTACTGTGAACATAATGGTGTTCTTGTTGATGCAAATTATTGTATGGCTTTTGTGATTTATAACTTGTACTTTATTTTGCTAGAGACTTGTTTTACAGGCTACTAGATTAAACATTTGACAGACAAATTCTATTAAAATATGCAGATTTGCATAACTTCACTAACAAAGCCAAACAATCCACAATGGTAATACAATTGAGTGGCTTAAGTTTAAATGTTGGGGGAGGTAAGTTTCAGCTTGTGAGATCACAGAGGCCTTTAAAAAGACAGTAAAAGTGCCGTTTTAAAGTAAATACTAGTATAACTGGTTTCACCAGAGTTTGCATATCATTTGTCTTTGATCTAGTTAAGGTTTTCTCAGTTTCGCTTGAATTTTCAGTTTCGACATGGCTTAATGTGAAACTCCTTGAATCCTTTGCATGAAATAAGAGTGTTCACAAATGGATCAGTAATTCACCTTTTGCTGCTCAAGATTGTACTTTGGATCTCTATTATAAAGTCAACATAATTCTCATCTCTATTCTGGTTAAATATTTACCTGGTCTTCTGTTTTTCCTTCTCCCCAGATGACAATGAGTGGATGTCGCGTCTTTATCGGCCGCTTGAGCCCGCACGCCAGAGAGCGAGACGTGGAGAAGTTCTTCAAAGGATACGGACGGATCCGGGAAATCAATCTGAAGAATGGATTTGGCTTTGTGGTGAGTGGCCCAACAACAAGCTGCAGATCAAAGAGTCCTGATCATGTTTTCCCAGAGTGAAAAATAACTTTTTGTTGTTTTCTCAGGAGTTTGATGACCACAGAGATGCAGATGATGCCGTGTACGAGTTGAACGGCAAAGAGTTGTGCAGTGAAAGGTAAAACTTACTTAAGCTTCATACTTGAACATGTTCACACAGACTAAATGGTTGGTACTTGGACAAATGGTAGCACTTCAAGAAGTCATCTACCCCATAAACCTATTGGAAATATATTGTTTGTTATTCATCCGATTATATTGTCCTAAGAATAAAAAAAAATCTTGTGTTCAGGGTCACTATCGAGCACGCTCGCTCCCGGAGAGGAAGAGGTGGCGGTCCCGGAGGAATGGGGGGTCGGTTCGGTGGTGGCAGTGACCGTAACGGTGGTGGTGGAGGGGGAGGAGGTGGAGGCGGCGGTGGTGGTGGCGGGGGTGGAGGAGGCGGCGGCTACCGCCAATCTCGCAGCAGTGGTTCCAGGTATGTTAGCTTGAAAAATAGCTTCCTCACACCTTGATTAACCAGGGAAGAGTTTCAGTTATTGAAAAGTGAAATATTCTGTTAATTCAGGTGTCAGGGAAACTTTTAACATAAAATATATTTGATTCATGGGTATAATCAAGTGTTTGTGTTGTGAGGATAAAATAAGAAAGGTTTGTTATTATTATGTAATCGTATTAAAGGCTTTTGTGTTGGTTTGTGTAGACTGGATAGGTATGGCCCTCCAGTGCGGACGGACCACAGGCTCATAGTGGAGAACCTCTCCTCCAGAATCAGCTGGCAGGTAAGAGAGCACGGAACCTTCTCATGTATCTGATTACAGACCTTATTAAACTGTATATGTATCAACCTGTAATGTAATGTTTTTTTATTAATTAAACTTAGCAGCTTTCATTTGATTGGGCCGGGTCAATTTTATCTGAAGTCAGATTTAGGAATGGGGCGATATGGGATTTTATCACATGTAAAGTTTCGTTTACCCTCTCAAGTAACGAGGCGAAGCAGATTTGAAAATGCAAAAATTATAATGAAAAAAAACCAGACTAACACTTTTATAATCTTTTTTTAAATTATATATATATAACCTTTGTTCATGCAACCTTTTTGATCATCGTATTCAGTTATTTTATAGCTGCAATATTTTTAGTTATGGCCACTTACCCATATTTAGATTTTTTTAAATTACACTTTAAGCTGCAATATTTTTCTAATATTATTTGATATCATTTTAAGAATTTAGAATTTATTACCCTTTTTTAAAAATATTTATGATTTTTCTTAATAAATATAAGGGGACGGTTTGTCCAGTAAACTTGTATTGCAATTTTAAGAAACTATGATTGTAATTTAGTTACTTTAATATTTTTAAGTTCATAAAATGTTCATATCGTCCCTTCCCTAGACGGATAAAATAAAGGCAAGAAAGAACCCCAATAGATAGTTATAGAACCCCCCCAGGCTTTTTATTTTTGACTTCACCTACTTACTATTTTTCCCAGACAAAAGCTAACAGCTAGGGATTCCAAAACAGTTTTGTTTTTTTGTAAAGTCTTCTCTGATATATAGAGTGACGCATCCTAAAACCCAGAAGTAAGTTAGCATTTTACCACTTCCGGTTCCTTCGACAAAAAGCAATGCCATTTCTCCATAGGATTTAGGAAAATAGCTTGAATTAAGATCTGTGGTTGACACAAATTTGAAGAGACATATCACGTTTTGTTCAGCCGGATAATATCCACATGTCTATCATTTTCGAATCATAAATCTCTCGATAGATTTATGATCGACAGATTTATGATTATAAGAGTAGGGTAGACATGTGGATATTATCCGGCTGAACAAAACGTGATCTGGCTCTTAAGTGTGTCAATCACAGACCTTATTTCCAGCTATTTTCCAAAATCCTATGGAGAAATTGCATTGCTTTTTGTCGAAGGAACCGGAAAGAGTTTACTTCCGGGTTTTAGGATGCAGCACTCTTTAGTTTCCTTATTTAAATCTATATCTCAGAGGTGAATGCACACCCTCCTCGGAGGCGTGAGAAGTGTGTAGCGCCCTCTCCTGGTTGTTTTTCTGAATAGTGTCCATTTGGTGCCTCTCCTTACACGCAGTTGCCGCCGGTCTAAAGTCTTGGCTGGTGGTCTAGCGCAGGATACGGTAGCCTTAGGAGGTCCGTAGCCACAGTCTGGAGGTTCTGTGGGCTGGCACCCCCCCCCCTACACTCTCTCGTTTGGGTCTTTTTCTGTTGCTGATGGAGCTGGGGGGGTGTTGGGTCGGGCAAACACCCCTCCCCCTACTTGCTCTCTGGTCTGGTGGGTCCTTGCTTTTGGAGGCCGGATGCTGGGTCAAGGCCGAGGTCGTTTCTCAAAGGCTTAACACTGCATTGGTTCCCATTTGCTATTTGGACAAGTGGCTCTATGCTAATATCTCCCTGGGTTTGGAGCGGTAAGTAGCATAAACTCATGTGATTGGGTTTGTTCAGGGTCGGGTGGTTCTGGGGGGAGTAGATGCTCAAAACATGTGAACACTTTAGGACTGCAGAGCCAAATCTTTAGGTCACATGACCAATATCTGGTCCTCTCACCAGGGCTGTACTGAAGAGTTTGACGTTTCGTTTATAACGTGACATTCAAAATCAGATTTTGATTACTATGCTGCTTTTTTTGCATAACTAGTTATTGTTTCTGTTGGCATTTTTGCACAGTTACACATAAGGATAAGAACAGATGTTTTCAAAGTGGGAGGCAGATTTCCTGGAAGATGAATTTATTTGGTTATAGAAGTTTTCACATGTATAATATGTAGGATAGCCTAACAAGAGTCATTTATTTATTTTGGGGGGTGGGGATTACATCAACAGTCAAACGAACACAAAAAACCTTTGGTACAGCCCTTTGATTTACCTAGAGTACTATTTTAACGACCTCCAATAAATACACGGGCTTATCTCATATACCCAGACGCAATAATGAATGCAAAAATACATGGGTTTTGATAAAAATGTAAACATTAAGCTGCTGTTACCTGTCAGGCGTCTCTCTATGGAGTTGACTTTGTTTCTTTGATGGAGCCAATAAAATCAGTTCCAGGCGACACAAAGCTTTCTCTTTATGTTACCGCCACTGGGATGAGACGTACGTCAGAGCTTTAGAAAACTCAGTTTCACTGTTTGCTGCTCCTTTCTCCTGCAGGTCAGAGACGGATCTCTAACTCTCTAAAGTGTTTATTCTGCCTGTTTAATCCTGCTTTATGCTTTACACAGGACCTCAAAGACCTGATGAGAAAAGCAGGTGAAGTAACCTTTGTGGACGCTCACAGGCCCAACAAAAATGAAGGGTGAGTTTCTCCTCCTCGGTTTTTTAAAACATTAAATATCGCTAAGAGTTTGTTCCTAATGTTTCTCCCGTGTCCCCTCAGAGTGGTGGAGTTTGCCTCACGCAGCGACATGAAGAACGCCATCTCCAAACTGGACGGCTCAGACCTGAACGGGCGCAAGCTCAAGATCTTTGAGGACAGCAGGAGGTCAGTTTCTCTTTAAGCATTTTTAGTGAAGGGTTAGAGGTCAGCCTGATGGTTAAATGTTTAGAAAGTTACTTATTATAACATATCTTTTAAATGTTAGGGATGTGCCTAAAATGTTGTGAAATCAAACTTTTTTTTTTTGTTGGAGTATATTAATATTCTGCACTTATCCAAACATTTAACTCATGTGAACCAAAGATATTAAACAAATATGTTATATATATTTTTGTCGCAAACCATACGCTAGCTAAGCATTTGATAATCATGATAAAAAAAACTCAATCGGTCAAATAAGCGAGTCCGTTTAAATTGTATTCAATGCAAAGAATAATTTGTAAATGTTATTTTTCACTATAGCACTTAAAGGGGACCTATCATGCAAAATGCACTTTTTGATGTCTTTTATACATAAAGATGTGTCCCCGGTGTGTCAGGGAACTCACGCAGCGTCAGAAAATAAAACCCTCACTTTTCCTCCGTACCCAAATCTCTAAAAACGGGGAACAACGGAGCTGATCCAGATTTCCGGCCGATATGACGTAATATCTGAAATGTGGACCCACGGCCCAATCAGAAACGTTGCTATCAGAAACAATGCCCGACTGTTTTGTATGTAATATGGTCGGTGTTTACATTAGCATCGCTAACACTCAGAGCTAACCTGTACTGGAGAGCATGTGTGTGAAGAAGCAGGAAGTAAAAAGGAACTCACCTTGTGGTATAACCGGCAAGAGAGAAAGCCTTTGAGCTCCAAACTGTTTCAGAGATAATCCTTGATAATCCATGATATGGCGTTTCATCACGGCAGCATTTAGTTTAGACAGTAGCTGCCGGTTCCAGCATGAGCTCGGCCCCCAAATCAGCACTTTTGAAACAGGAAGTGAAATAGAGGGATATGAGGCATGGCTAGAATGGGTGATCCGTTTGGTATTTTGAGCAAAACACTTCCTAGACATGTTTTTTATATATCTGAGACCTATGCTATTGCCTAGAAATAGCATGATAGTGACCTTTTAAGTTGCAATTTAGAAACCAAAATATAAAAAGTTCTGCTTTAGGTATTTTGAATTTTAAACACATACGGATTTAGATATGAAAACGAGAGGAATAGCCAATAAGTTGCTTCTTTTTTTTTTTAAAGAATCAAGTTAAATAAATTATATTTATTAATAATGTTCTTTTCTCTCCTCCCCCTGCAGTCACAGTAAGAGCCGTTCCCGTTCCCGCAGCTACTCTCGCTCCAAGTCCCGCTCCAGGAGCCGCAATCGCTCCAGGAGCCGATCCCGTTCTCGCTCCATGAGCCGAACCCCGGAGAAGAAGGCGTCGGGCGGGGGCCGAGCCTCCGGAAGATCCCCCTCCAGGTCCAAGTCCCGCTCCAGGTCCCGTTCTCGTTCTGCCCCCCGCCGATCCCGCTCTCCCGCCCGCCATTCCCGTTCTCCCGCCCCAAGATCTCGCTCTCCCCCTCCCAGATCCCGTTCTCCCGCCCCGAGATCTCGTTCTCCCCCTCCCAGATCCCGTTCTCCTACACCCAGATCCCGTTCTCCCGCCCCGAGATCTCGCACTCCCCCCCCCAGATCCCGTTCTCCGGCCCCAAGATCTCGCTCCCCCCCGGCGCCGGTTCCTAACAAACAGTCCCGCTCTCGTTCCAGATCTCGCTCACGTTCCCGCTCCGCCTCCGCTGACAGCAAACACTGAGGGAGGGGGCATGAAACAGACTCTCTCCACAGGCCTGTAGAGGGCGTGTCTTTATCTTTATTTTTAATCATTGGCTCTTTTTGTTAGTTTGGATGTGCTTCCACAGGAAACCTGAAATTCCCGCCCTTTTTTGAAATCCTCTCCTAATTTGATGAAATCCAGAACGACAGAAAACACTGATTCTCCGTCGGCCATGTTTGATTCCATCCACCCCCCTGTGCGTTCAGACGTTAGCAGGGATTCATTACTCCCTGAAAATGTTCATGCGTGTTTTTTGTGTGTAACGTGAGCTCCTGGCATTGCCGTGAAACTGTGATTCTGACACGTTGTTGCGTTCACTGACCTGTTGTGTGAACGGCATTGTGTTTTATTTCTTGTTTAATGATCATTCATTCGTGCTGAATCAGGACCTCTGCGTCTCCGTTTTACTTATTTTATCTGCGGCCTCGGCCTGTGGGGCGTTTAGTTGAGCAGGAACAAATGTATCTGAATAAGGTTAATGATTTGATACTAATAAAACACTCACTGCGTATTGTCATTACATTTTTTTTTTTAGTAAGAAGGAACAGTGAATTTTCTTTTAATACTTTGTGAATGTGGGTCTGTGCAGTTCTGACAAATAAAGCTTTCACAAACTGTTGAAGTTCTCCTCAGTGTTTCATTCTGTCCTGCAGTTATAACGGCACAAACTGAAAATTAAATTTCATGTAAAGGACTAGATTGGTATTTACATCGTTTGTTTTTTAAATGGCAGAACATTTGATGTAATAGATTTGTTGGGAATCATATCATCTGAAATGTGTAACTTATTAAAATAATTAATTTAACATAAGCCTCTCGCATGCAACACAGACACACTAAGTGGAAATGTACACATCATGTTGGGGAAACTTCTGAAGCAATTGGAAACAGGACTCAGAGAGGCACGAGGAGAGCTGGAGCTTTGATGGCAAACGCTGGTGGTTTATTTGGAGTTACGGCCGGAGAGTTGACGAGACAGGTGGTGTGTCACGACCTGTGTGCCAAACCAATTCTGAAGAACTCTTTCTGTAGCTCGAGGTCTTAACTAGTTCGGAGTGTAATAATCAACATTCTTCATCAGTGAGACTAAAGCAGTGGTTCTCAAACTTTCTGTCAGAGAAAAAAAAAAGTCGGGTCCCCCCCCCCAACACAAATAGTCACGTAATGGACCAAGTTAACATTTATTAAAATACGTCAATATGAACGTGAGCATTCCTTTACAAAGAACAGACCCTAACCTAACCCTAACTAGAACAGTGATAATAAAACAATGCTCCATAAGTCTGTGTGGTCAACAAAAAAAAAAATACAATTGTGCAATCCCTTTGCTAGAACAATAAATTATAATACTTTGCAATCTGTGCAAAAAAATGAAAAGAAAGAAAATGCTGATATTTGCCAAAAAGTCTCATCACAGCATGAGTGACTGCAATGAGCCTGTTTTGCACTGCAGATTTCTTCAAAGCTCAGTGGCGGCGCCAGAGATTTATTTTTGGGTGCTGTGGGGTAGCTTGACGTTTCATAGAGGGTGCACAAACATTTAGGGTTTCCATTAATGTACCGGTCGCTACAGTGGAATTTTCTACTGCAACATTCCTCACGCAAATGCACAACGTACCCGCGACTGTTACAATGAAGGCTCGATAATCAGCTCACGGCATATAGGTGTAAGCAGGGGTAAAGTGCTGTTTTTTATAAGTGGGGAGTGGACCCCATCCTCTAGGGGGGTCCAGGGGCAAGCTCCCCCGGGAAGATTTTTTTTTACATTTTGAAGTTAAAATTATCAATCTGGTGCACTTTGAGAGCAAAATGTAGAGACCTATGGATACCTCTCTCAACACCCATTTGAAACAGAACTGTAAACAGATTTACTTTTTCTTTATGGATATTTTACAAATCACTCCCCTTTTAAACTGTATTCTTTTTTCACTGTCATATAGTATTTCATACCTGTTTTTCATTTATTCTCTTATTTTTTATAACTATGATGATCATATTCTTTCACACACACATACGGGTATTGGGCCGAGCGCGACACCGTACTTCCGGTCTGCGCCGTTTTACGCGAGGTGCAAGCACCCGTACACCGTCTAGGTATTGCTATGCTTCCTGTACTGAATATCAGTCTATTGCCTTAATCAATATCTAGTCAACTCTAAAATACCACATATATGCATTGGCATGATAATATTATTGTGACAAGTGGGGTATTCACCTGGTGTTTCCAGAAATTAGACGTAGATGCAGCCAAAATCGATGAAGGCCACTGTCGTTTTTCCATACATCTGCAGGCAGTCTGTAAGGGCAATCCGACAACCCACACAGCTCTAGTTTACGCTGGTAACGACCTAGAGCACACCCCTCAAGTCCAGAGATGTAATCCGAAGACATGCAGCGATTTCTTCGGTCGTTAATTCAGAAAAAAAACCTACTGCGCTCTGCCTGGCTACGTTAGCTAGCTGTTTATATTTGCACTTCCAGGATATTAGCACCTCCAGGAAAATGGCGCATTTATATATATTTACATGGCGCGTGTTGCATTGTGGGTAGCTCGTGACGTCACTGTGTGTGAAAGAATAAACGTGTGCCACGGAAATAATTGTTTACAGTAATCGTGAACAAAACGTTTGAGACCTGGCCACTGAGAGAGTCCTTTAATTCACTGAGCCCCCCAGTCTGACAAGAGGTTGTTGAAAAAGCTCCTTATATCCGTTAGCGTAGCTCGCTAGCACCAGAAGCTAACAACAACGATCTCCGGTACTGGTGCTCTCTCTCTCTCTCTCTCTCTCTCTCTCTCTCTCTCTCTCTCTCTCTCTCTCTCTCTCTCTCTCTCTCTCTCTCTCTCTCTCTGAAACACAGAGACCCAGACGTATTTGTACTGTACTGTAGCATATTATTTTCGAATCAATCATTTTTCAAATTATTATTTAAAAAAAAAAAAATGTTTCTCCTGGTCTCTCGCGCCTCCCCTGTCATGCCCCCCACTTTGAGAAACACTGGACTAAAGCAATATGGACCCTGAATCTAACTAGAGCTGTTGTCCATAGAAAAGAATGTGCGCCAGGGAACCTTCGTCCCTGAACAGTAAACTACCTCATGGCGGCTTGTGCGCTGTCATAGACTGGCAACAACAATGCGCCCAAGCTGCCCCCGCCTTAAGAGAGATAGCAGCAATACCCAAGGCTGTACACAGGAGTGTCAAACTCAAATACACAGTGGGCCAAAATAAAAAAATCGTTACTAGTCGAAGGCAAGACTGGTTCAATGTTTTTTGCAGAACTTATTGAAATAAACTTATTGCACATATTAAACCTGGAACTAACAAAGCTTAAATGATTGCCTACAACATTAAACATTAAATAATCAGTTGCATTCATTTCTTATGGCTCTATCTGCAGCTTTTCCAGAGTCATTTCTTATGATTACATTTTCCCTCAGGCCAACAACAGCTTCAAAAAAAGAATTTCCCTCAAACATGCCCTGTTGGCACAAGAAAAATAGTGCAGAAGGAAACATCCATGTAAACTCAGTGTGCTGCTCTGTGATGCTAGCTCAAGCCAGATACTTGGCATCTCATCTTGGGTGCAAGTTCATCAATGTTTGGGCTCTGAGCTGAGGAGACCCTCAGGATGGAGTGAAGGTGTGCGTGCAATATATCGGCGGGCCAGATCTAATAGTAATTAGAAATTATCCTGCGGGCCGAAATTAAATCCACCAAGGGCCTGATTTGGCCCCCGGGCCTTGAGTTTGACACATGTGCTGTAGACCCATGGGAAAGGAGACAGTGAGAGGAGACAATTAAACACCAGCTCATTTTAATCCTTGAAGTGACCCAGTTCATGAAGTCCCTGAAAACAATAACAGTAAATAATTCTTCCAAAAATATATAATTATATACGAATATGAACTTGAGAATAATAAGGTCACTCAGTATTTCAGCTTCAACCACATGGTGGCAGTATCTGCTTTCAGTAACATTTCAACAAACTAGAAAATACAAGTCTGTGTGCATAAATGATCAATATTTATTATAATAATGACTGCTTTCATTCATAATTAGGTGTTGGCGCAGGTGTAGAGGGTATAGGTGGGTGGTTTCAAATGCACCACACTGCGTAATAAGGGAGGAGTTGCTCTTTCTCCTCTGCAGGGGGCACGCGGACATAAAGGTGTGTGAGTTCGCAGTGTGTGTGTGTGTGTGTTTCGGATATCTGTTCCAGAGGAGTGTGCAAAACGCATCTTCAGGAGAGACCTTCAATGACGTTGTCCTGTGAGAGTATGAGGAGTGATTGATGCCAGGTGAGCAAGCTGAAGAAGACTCAGAGCAGTGAAGGTGATAGCTTTAGTGCCACCAGTTGAAAATAAATCTAGTCATAATGTTATTTCTGACACATCCACATATGTATATATTTTGGGTTTTTATGTGGCCCTGTGAAAATACGGAGGAATAGGGCCTTATTTTTTAGATCTGAGAATAAAGGCATCGAACAGAATATTGCTTTACTTTTTTCAGAATTTCAGAATCACATTTTTTTAGATCATCTGTTTTTCTTTCTCACGATTTTGACCTTTTCAGAATTTTGCCTTTTTTTCTCTCGTAATTTTGACTTTTATCAGAATTTTCACCTTTCAGCAAAATTCAGAATTTTTCTCTGAATTTTGAATTTTTTTCATAATTTGGAATTTTTATCAGAATCGAAATCTTTTCTGTCAGAACTTTATTTCTTCCGATCTGTAGAAAATGTTCACGTGGCCCTAGCCCTAATCCTCTTCTCTATGAACAAGTCTGCATATTTGAAATAAACTCAATTTTATTAAGTATATGACCAGTGGCGACTGGTCATTAGGGGCACAGCCCCATCTAGTGTCAGCAGAAAGTATTACAAATAATGATAACAACAAAATGCAACAAAAAAAATAAAAATATTTTAAGATCATATTTAATCATCTGATTCGTCTGTACATTGCTGTTTTAGTCTGTGTTCTTCTAATTAGTGTCTAGTGTGTGCCGATTGAGCTGTTTAGAGCCATGTGGGACAAAACCCGATCATGCCCCTCCTTCTCACTGTCTAAGTGAACGGTGACTGTAAAAATGACACTGCGCATGCTCAGAGTATTGTCCTATTTAATGTGTGTGGCAAAAAAAAAATGACAATAGGGGCACTGAGCTGCCATCCCCACCATACATCATTTCACATAATTCAGAGCAGATTGGCTGTAAGTACGTGTGCCGCGAAAAGTGTGGTGTGTGAAGAGGAGGAGAGCTGCAGTGACGCATCCTAAAACCCGGAAGTAAGCTGCGCATGGCTTCCCTCCACTAAAAAGCAATGATATTTCTCCATAGAATTTGAGAAAATAGCTCCAAACGTACCTGTTAGATAAATGCACGTTTTGTTCAGCCGGATAATATCCACATGTTTGCCCTACTTTTATCATTTTCGAATCATAAATCTATCGATTAGATTTATGATAGACTTTTGAAACTACAAGAAGATAAGGAGGACTTTTACAAAAAAGTAATAGAGATTTTTGTCCAGAAGGATAGGCAAATGGACTTCATCTTCAAGTCAAGGTAAGACCGCAATTTTATTGAAAATGGGATCTTACTAAGAGAGAACAATTCAATATTTAAATGATAAAATTACATTTTTTGGGTATCCTTTTGTTGAACTGTCTGTTTAAAATTAATCGAAGCATCAGACAAAAAAAGCTTATATTTATTTTCATTTAGGTCAAAATATAATATTTGTAAACCTGAAGAGTCAGTGTCAGTGCCTCACCAGCCATGAACCTCACTGCACGTCACTGCAGAAGCTTATATATAGACATCTAAGTTTGTTATGCCCCACCACTTTTGGACATATAAAAACGCCACTGTATATGACACATTACTGTAAAAAAATATGCACACAGTATATCTTTATTGAAGTGAAAGGACAGAAGTTGTATTATTGTGTAAATATGTGCAATGGTACAAATAATAATAATAATAATACATTTATTTTGTAATGTACCTTTACAGGTGCTCAAAGTCACTTTACAGAGGTAGTGAAAAAGGACAACAAATAAATATAGTAAAAGTCACATTAAATTCGAGCAATAAAACAACAATCACACATTGCCAGTTTGAAGAGGTGAGTGCAAACACTGAGTGACACATGAAGACTGGAAATCCCTGACACTTTAATTCATGAAAGATGAGTCTCTTCCTGCCCCTCCTCTCTCTCTCTCTCTCTGGGTGTGGCACTGATCGCTCCTCATACTCCCGGAGCAGCAGCGTGGTAAACACTCTCTCCGCTCTGAGGCTCCACAGCTCCGGCTCTCTCTGCTGCTCCTACCCGACCTGAGGCCGGGGACATGAGCTCCACTTGCGCCCTTCACATCGCACCGTGAACGGGCTCTGTTTACCGGACACTCAGGACACCGTGCCCCGGTGTTTACAGCTCGGTGTCGGACCCCCTTTACCCCTATTCACCGGGACCATGGCGGAGAGAAGTGGCCGGTTGAGTTTCGCCGGCAGCGGGGCTCTCAACAGACCGGTGCCCATGAACCTGTTCGCCACATGGGAGATCGACGGCTCCTCCCCGAACTGCGTCCCCAGGTAAGGTGCACCGATCCCCGGCCTTTTAACTTTAAGGTGCAGCTGTCATCCTGCAGCCGCTAACCTGCAGCTGCACGGCGGCTAGCTGCATGATACCGGGGAGGGGAGGGGGGGCATGCAGGCCTGCAGAGGGCTCGTGCACCCATCTGCACCGGGAACATGCAGTCATTAACATGCGTTTAAAGTGGCGTAGCACAGTAAACTCATAACATGCACGATAAAGGTGTTTCCTGGCAGTTTATTTTTGCATAATGAATTAAGTGCTACATTATACATGTTTTTACCATCCCTTCTCTACTGTAGTTGAGTTTAACCAGTTTTGCCAGAGTTTATTTGATTGTTTTGTATTATTATTTACTTATTGGTTTGTATATGACCTTTGGGGCACTTTTTGACTCTTTTTTTGTTGTTATAATCTGTGTATCACATATAGCTAAATAAATATGCATATACAGTTTGGCTTTACACAGACAACACATAAACAAACACTGATTAATAATAATAACAACAACAACAACAACAACAACAACAACTATAAAGGTGTTTATTACTACTACTTGTATGTAGTTCATCTAGGAGTTTGCTTGCTGTAGTAAAATCCCTTTTATTTGCCATTTTTGGTGAAGTTAACTCTGCTTTCATTACTGTCATTGAGCTCTGCATACATATTTGTTTCATATATTCATTTTTCATTTACATGTGAACAAGTGGGAACTTTTTTACAATTAACTCAATTAATGCCACATTTAGTTATATATTAAAAAAAAAATGTTTTATTAAGTTTCACATCGCTTAAAAAAGGGAATACGTTTTGGCTTCTCAACATCGACAACTGCTAAACTCACATTATTCTGCTTAGTTTGTTGGTAGATTGTTGTTGTTTGACATGCGATATGACAGCGTTCAGAAAAAAACAAGACTTTAAAAAATCTATCACAATGCCATTTTCCCAATAATGATTCCGCATCTCTTTTTGCAGGCAAAGAATACGTTTTTTTTAAATTATATTTTTAGTTACCTTGTCATTTTAATCCTTTTTTACTAAGTAGTTGGCACTTCATCATTACCAAAACTATATTTCTTACAATTTATTTCCCTCTGCTGTAGTTTCCAGTGTTGGTCCATATGTTATCAATGTCTTAGTGGAAACGTGGCATATTATACATTATAAACTCCACTTGACTCCTAGCTGCTGTCAGATTTGTGTTGTACCTGTGGGGAAATGAGATTTAGGGTATATGTGTGTGTTTTTGAGAGTTATTTTAAAGTGATGACTGTCTCTGCTTAGCCTCTTTCTATCCTCTTAAGTTAGTACCATCAATGGGTGTCACATTGCTTGGCTTTTAAGCTGAAATAAGACGTCCAGGAATAAAATATCTGTGATGTTTTTCAGCAAAGCGTACAAGATGTTTCTGCAGGGGTCAATCCTCCGTGACCCTGCTCGTCTTTTAGCGTCATGCACAGAACAGGATTTGATTAAATACAGACTTCATTTCCTGTATTTGTCAGTAAATCTCAGCGGTGTCTGCAGCTCTGCATCGAGCGCCGTCCGTCAGACCGCAGGAGGAACGCGGTTTGTCAGATCAGTGTTTCATTCAGAGATTCAGACTCTTTAAGTGGATAAATAAACTCTCTGCTGTCCTTCAGAGGAGGATCTGTTCCTCTGTTTCACTGTCACTGCTCACTTCTCTCGTGAAGGGATACTGTGGATGTTTTGTGGCGGTTTAACCCTCCTGTTATCCTCAAATTTACTTTACACCCTTCATCCTCTGGGATCAATTTGACCCCAGTAGTTTAAAACTCAAGACAATGATCATATTCCAAATTGTAACCACTCTTGTGCTTTAGGTATCTTAGTTTGACTACCTAAATATCCATTTAAATAAAACATTACCCTGACCTTCACCCCCACAGACCCCTTTATACATCCAGAATTCTTATTATGTTACTATCAAACATTATATAAATCACCATAAAATCTCACTGACTGAAATAAAATGTTAAAGTCAGATCTTTTTGACGTTGTTAAAGGACCAATAACTAAACCAGAGGGTAGTTTTGTTTTACAATGATACATTTGCATGTAATAGTCACCTCAATATCGTCCTACACAAGCAACACAAATATGTGTAAAATATTGACATTTTTCTATGTTTTATACTACTAAAACATCCTGGGGTCAAATTGACCCCAAGGAACACCGATGCGTACAAAGTGCGTACAGGACATTTAAAAAATATCTTCATGTTGATTTTATGTTTACCCATTAGTCCTCACTAAATTAGGGAAAGTCATGAAATACTAAGCAAAAAAAAGAATGTGAACAATTTTTTTTAGATACGTTAAACATTGAATAACAGGAGGGTTAACTTCCTAACCATAGTCAGTGTATCACCTTTATTCAAATATATTTCCATACCAATATCAGTTTGAGTGTACGCAATGTTTAGAATATTTGCACCGCATTGCCTTTCTGATGTAATCTTTGCATTACACTTTGCAAAGCCACCAGACTCCATTGGAAAAAAAACATGAATTTATTCTTGCAGAACACAGGGGATAGATTTGTGACATTTCAACAATAAAGTTGTAATATTTGGGGATTAATACGTGATTTCTGAGTTACTTTTCCAAGCAAAAGTCATGATATCTCTAGAAAATATCCAGAGATTGCGAGGATAAAGTCGTGACATTTTAAGCGCAGCATCTGAAGAATAAAGTCCTGACATGTTGGAAATGAAACCGTAACCTATCCAGGATACGGTCGGGAAATGTTGAGAATAAAGTCATTATTCAACCTAAACAAAGTACAGACATCTCGAGAATAAAGTTGGAATTTATTTTAAATTAAGTCCCATCAGTACATGAATAAAGTCATGACTTATTTGAGGAAGAATCTCCAGAGATTCAGATCTGCTAATATCTTTTTTCTTTGAACCCTTCCACCAATATTCATACAAATGAGACGGGTAGTTTTTCTGTAATCCTGACAAACCAAACCGATCATATCACCTCTCTGGTGGACGAGAATATTTTATAATTAATTTCTAAAATTAAGCTTTACAGCGTTCAAAGAGGTGAAGCAGAAAGACATTTGTTCAACATGTTTTTAAGACCTCAAGGACAAACACAGTGGGTGTTTCTCAATGTCGAGGACGCTTCCTTGGTAGCACATGTCTTCCGAGTCACTTCCTTCAGAAGCTAGGCAAGAATCCTTCCGGGCATTCGGAAAACGAAGAGTGGAACAGGCGAGCAAGTGTGCAGGTGTGCGTTATATGAGAGGCCCGCCTTACATTTTCCGCCACAGATCTGGGGAAATTGGTCCGTGCGCAAAGCATTGTGGGGATTTTAAGACCGCGGAGGATACACATGTGCAGCCTCGAAACTTCCCGCAACGAAGGACGCCGGCCTCGGTAGAATTCCAAGGAGCCTGGACATTGGAACAGTCCTTCGGCGGGACTCGATGACGTAGCATCCTTGAAATAGTGGCTCTGGAGCATCCTTCCTTGACATTGAGAAACACCCAGTGCTTCAGTCACTTTGGATATACATGATTTAAAAAAAACAAATTTAAGGATAAAGTTGCCAAATCCCTAAAGATTCAGATCTGCTCATGTTTTCTTTAGACCAAGCCACCTTCCACCAATCCTCATGAAAAGCCTCAGTGGAGATAAATCCTGTTTTTGCAGATTTTGTCTCTGAAGCTCATCATACAATCTGTGCAGAGATCAGTGTTTTCTCACACTGAATTCACTCTTAAATCTGTTGTAGGTTAATTATTCTCACACTCAGCCAAATGCTCACTCATCAGAGCGGCTGGTAACATATTGATGCTTCAGTTTGTAATGAATCATTTATCTGGACTCATATATAATCACGTTAGTGTGCCAGCAGCAGTCTGTGTTGTGCTGCCGTGTTAAAAGGATGCTTCAACATTTTACGGACATTTGCTTTCCTTTATTAGTTGGATAAAAACATCGATACCACTCTCATAACTGAAGCTGCAGATCAATTTTGATCCACGCCAAGAAATACTCCTTGAACTGCAACTAGATTTTTTTACGGATTAAACAAACAAAATATACATTTATGAGGCTCTTGAGCAGGTTTCACCTTCAGATAGAGCTATGCTAGCCGTTCCCATCCGCTTCCAGTGTCTATGCTAAGCGAAGCTAACAAACTTGTGGCTACAGTTTCATATTTAACCTACATTTAAAAAAATACTTAGTGAGAATTGTCAGGTCATAAATGAAGTGTGAATTCATGTAATTCTTAGTTTGTCAAAAAGACATGGACGTCAAGTTTTCTTTGTAATTTAGTTTAAAGTAAATATAAAAAGACAAAGACTGTGTTTTTAAGGCAAGACACTACAGGTTGATGTTACTGTCTAAGACCCCATTTACACGGGAACGTTTACGCACCGTATGCGTTTTCAAAAAAGTCTTCCGTTCACACCTATGGTTCACACGCATTCGATTCATGTAACGTGTCCGTTCACACGAGACCGCTGGAAACTCTGGAAACGCTGTAGTACATAGGCCTGTAAGTGGCGCTGCTGCCGCCACAAAATACACCAAAATCAGCGAAGAAGACCCCGGAGCATGGTTGCCATGGTTGCCCTTCTGTTTATTCTCCGCGGTGGACGGCGTGTTCTCCTGCTGTAAATCTCTCCGGTAGTCCACCAGCAGATGAAAAACCCCCACCTCTCCGCCTCTTCCAACGGACGAGGGGACCGTGCGGCAGAGTTTCCGTTAACATTTTCTTTCGCCGGTCAACATGTCCGTTAAAGTTTAAATCTTCCGTACAAAATTAGAAAAATGCCGGTCAGAGGTCTTCTTTGTTATTTATTGAGCTTTAAAACAAATTGATAACGACTCTATATAATAATATAATAATAATAAACGGAGTCTCTCTTTTCCTCCCCCTCTTCTGACAGCCCAGCAGCTGATCTCTGAGCAGGAGAGGTGGGGAGAGGGAGGCGGGGCTATTTCATCGTTATC